TACTTTCTTACCATTTGTGATGATTATAGTAGAGGTGTTTGGATATTCCTTATGGCACACAAATCTCAGACAGGAAAGATCCTCAGTAACTTCATAAAATTGATTGAAAATCAGCATGATCAAAGAGTAAAGAAAGTGAGGTCAGACAATGGAAGGGAGTTCTTGGGAAATGATATACAGGAATTCTTTCAGTCAAAAGGGATTGTGCATGAAACCAGCTGTGTCTATACACCACAACAAAATGGTGTGGTAGAAAGGAAACATAGGCACCTATTGGAAGTGGGGAGAGCATTGATGTTTCAAGCTAAGTTGCCCATGCAGTTTTGGCCCTACTCAGTTTTGGAAGCAGCTTTTATTATTAACAGGCTACCTTCCCAACTTTTGAATTGGAAGACTCCATTTGAAAGGATATATGGTGTCCCACCAGATTATGGAAGACTTAAACCTTTTGGATGCTTAACATATGCAGCTGCAGTGCATCCTTTTAAATCAAAATATGAACCAAGAGGCAGCAAATGCATTTTATTGGGAAATGTGGGAAATAGAAAGGGGTATCAACTGTATAATCTTGACACTAAGGAATGTTTCATATCCAGAGATGTAGCCTTTTTTGAAGGCATCTTCCCATCTGTTATTCCACCTTCAGATAATGTGGTAATGCCACACAATGTGGAAGAAAACAGTGACATCATGGAATCTGGAGATGAGCAAATTACTGATGGAGTAGTGATTGATCAAAATCCACAGAGAGAAACTAGAAGAAGGAGGACACCTAGATGGCAGGAGGATTACATATGTGGAGCTGCACAGCAGGACAGGCAAACAAAAAGATTCTATCCAGTAATAAGACACTCATATACTACAGCTCATGAGGAGCCTCCTTCTTCTTTTGAGTTCCTTGCAGCCATGTCAGTTGAAAGAGAACCTTCACATTACAAGCAAGCCACACAACATCCTGCTTGGGTTGAAGCAATGCAGAGGGAACTAAATGCATTAGAAACTAACAACACATGGGAGTTAACTTCACTGCCTCAAGGAAAAAGGGCCATTGGGTCTAAGTGGGTCTACAAGATCAAAAGGAAGGCAGATGGCTCCATTGAAAGATTTAAAGCCCGGTTAGTAGCCAAGGGTTACAACCAAACTGAGGGTATTGACTACTTTGACATATTTTCACCAGTGGCAAGGTTGGTTACAGTGAGATTTCTTATTGCTATATCAGTTCACAGAGGGTGGTCATTACATCAACTGGATGTAAATAATGCTTTCCTCCATGGTTACCTAGCTGAAGAGGTTTATATGTCACCACCACAAGGATATACTAAAGCCTTTCCAGGTCAGGTGTAAAAATTGATCAAAAGTCTCTATGGTCTGAAGCAAGCCTCTAGAGAATGGAACAATGAACTGTGCAGAAAACTGTCTCTATTTGGTCTTATTCAGTCACCATATGATCATTGCTTGTTCACCTTGAATAAGGATGGAAAGTTTCTAGCTCTTTTGGTTTATGTGGATGATGTTTTAGTGACTGGTTCTTGTGAAGAATTGATTAAGGAGCTGAAGAAATTCTTGGATGATCAATTCACTATAAAAGACTTAGGAAAGGCACAATTCTTCCTTGGTGTTGAACTGAAATATGGAACAGAAGGTGTTTCTCTGTGCCAAAGGAAGTATATTTTGGATATCTTGGGTGATCTCAATATGCTCAGTTGTGCACCAGCCTCTACACCTTTACCACTGGGTTTTAAATTGGAGATTAATGCAGGGAAATGTAGAAATCACAAATTTTGGTACAGAATTGAGAAGAACATAATTTGGGACATTTTCAATATTCTCATTCAAATTCAAAAACTAGAGCTTAGCTCAGAGTTCAGTACATATATGAGGAAGACGAGCACACAATACTCGTGAGCTAAGAGCCACTCAAAGGCTAACACGTAGCAACAACTAATATAAAAGAAAAATAGAAACCGTGACACAAAAGCGTATAACAACTCTTAAAGTAAGAGCAGCGCCTTTTTACTTAATCAGAGAAAAGAAACTAGGAAATATAGAAAGAAAAGAAATGTGTTGGCGACTGAAACTCCACGCAAATGATCCTGCCACGCTTAACACTTCAACACCCCCCCTCAAGTGGGAATGTGGGGAGTGCACATGCCCAACTTGACAAGATAGAGCTGGAAATCCGGACCACCTAAAGCCTTGGTGAACAAATCTGTTGGCTGAGAAGAAGTGGTAACGTGTTTGGGCAGAATGAAGCCATCCTTGAACTGGTTGCGCACAACATGGCAGTCAATGTCCAAATGCTTGGTCCGCTCGTGGAAAACTGGGTTTGCAGTGATATGAATGGCTGCCTTGTTGTCACACCATAAAGGAACAGGCCGTGAAATCTGAATCCCAAGATCAGCAGCAAGATAAGAGATCCATTGCAACTCACAAACCGTAGACGCCATGGATCGATATTCAGCCTCGGCAGAGGAACGCGAGACCTTTTTTTGCTTCTTGGTTTTCCATGAAATCAAGGCATCTCCCAAAAATATACAGTAGCCTGTTAGAGATTTGCGAGTTAAGGTGCAACTGCCCCAATCGGAGTCACAAAAGGCCACCAGGTTTGAAGAAGGGTGTAAATTGTAGTGCAGACCTAAGTGAGGACAACCCTTAAGGTATTTGACAACATGAAGGGCAGATGTCCAGTGAGCTTGAGTAGGGGACTGCACAAACTGGCTATGCTGTTGTATGGCATAGGAGATGTCAGGCCGAGAAAGGTTGAGATAGAGTAAACGGCCAATTAATCTTCTATATGCCTCTGGGTGCTGAAAAGCAGATGACCCTTGACTTGAGAGATTGCACCCTTGTGGTAAGGGAGTGACAACACTTTTAGAATCCTGTAGCCCAAGATCATTTATGATGTCAATAATATACTTTCTCTGATTTAAAAAGGTTCCTTGTGAAGTCCTGCAAATTTCTAGCCCCAAAAAATATTTAGCATGTCCTAAATCTTTGATGGTGAATAGACCATGCAAATGAGACTTCAACTGTTCAATAGCCCCAAGAGAATTACCAATGATAAGCACGTCATCAACATAGATCAATAAAGCCATAAACTGAGCATCTCCTTCCTTAATAAAAAGGCAATGATCATGAGTAGATTGAACAAAGCCATAAGCCAAGAGTTTGTCCGAAAATTCGATGTTCCATTGTCTAGAGGCCTGCTTCAATCCATACAAACTTTTCTGAAGCAAACAAACATCACCTTTCTGGGCTTTCTCATAACCTTTTGGAGGCAGCATGTAGACTTCCTCCTCTAAAAAACCATGCAAAAATGCATTATTAATGTCTATATGATGCATTTCCAGATTATGTTGTGTGGCCAAAGCAATGATGAATCTCACTGTCACTAATTTAGCAACAGGAGAAAAACTATCATAGAAATCCACCCCTTCCTTTTGCAAATAGCCTTTGGCCACTAACCTGGCCTTAAACTTGTCTATACTGCCATTTGGATGCCTTTTTATCTTGTAAACCCACTTTGATCCTATGGCTCTCTTCCCAGTTGGTAGTTTAGTAAGTTTTCAGGTTTCATTAACTTCAAGGGCATGCAATTCTGTCTTCATGGCATCAATCCACCTGCTGTCTTTAATAGCTTGCTCATAAAACAAAGGTTCTGACATGTCTTTATCTATCTCAGCTAAAAAAGCCTTCACATTTGAATGATTGGTAACTTCAGATAAGAAATGGATTTCATAATCTGCAAGCCACTTAGGTGGTTGTCTGGTTCTCTTACCTCTGCCTGTCTCTAAGTTGGTGTGTTCAGTGACCTGTGTCCTTTCAACAGGCTCAAGTAAATTCTTATCATTTTCCAAGATCTGTTCATTAACAATGGGCAAAGGAACAGATTCTGCTTTATCAGAGTTTACAAGAAATGGGAACTTGTCTTCATAGAATATGACATCCCTGGAAATAAAGATGTCATTGGTATCAAGATTGTAGACCCTATACCCTTTCACACCAGTCACATAGCCAAGGAAAACACATGGCACCGCTCTAGGATCAAACTTCCTTCTGTGAGGTTCCAACTTTGAGGCATAGCATAAACAACCAAAGACTTTTAACCTTTCATATGGTGGTAAAACTCCATGCAGAAGCTGAAAAGGACTTTGCCAACCAAGCCTTTCACTAGGCAAACAATTAATTATCTGCACAGCTGCCATAAGACTATAGGGCCACAATTCTTTTCTAAGGTTAGCCTGGAAAGATATACACCTTGTCACTTCCAAAATAGACCTATGCTTTCTCTCCACAACACCATTTTGTTGTGGAGTGTAAGGGCATGATCTTTGATGCAGAATCCCATTTTTCTTCAGCAAATCATTTACATCTTTGTTGATAAACTCACCACCATTGTCTGACCTTATTTGCTTGATCTGACATCCAAACTGAACTTGTACCATTTTAACAAAAAACTCAATGTGCTTGCAGGTTTCTGATTTTTGCTTCATCAAGAATATCCAAGTTCCTCTTGTGAAATCATCAACTATAGTCAACATGTAAGCTGTGTTAGTGACAGATTTCTCATGATAGGGTCCCCACACATCCATGTGTACCAAGTCAAATTTCTTTGTAGTTTGTATCTCACTTTGAGGAAAAGGAAACCTGCATTGTTTTCCTCTGTGGCATATGTCACATGACAGGCGATCACTGTTCAAAACTCCAGATTTCAAAAAATGAATATGTTTCATGCAAGAGAAAGAACTATGCCCCAGCCTCTTGTGCCAAAGTTGTGTGTCTTCCTCTTGATCTCCCACCTTCTCCACTACATAGGCAAAGTTCTGTGAAGTGTCCAAAACATATAAACCACCAAGTAGCCTTCCCACAACCAAAACAGTATTCTTCATAGGATCTATCAGCTGACATTTTCCACTGGTAAACTCAAACTTCAGTCCATAATCCATGACCAACTGCCCAACTGACATCAAATTGTATTTGAAATCTGGGATTAGCAAGACATTCTTCAGCACAATGTCATCATTTATCCTCACCTTGCCTATTTTGTTCACCTTAATTTTGGAGCCATCAGGTAGGTTAACAGTGACCGGAGCTGGTGTGTCAAAGGAATCTAAAACCAGATCAACATCTGAGCATATGTGTCTACTTGCCCCTGTATCTATGATCCAACTGCCCTTCTCAAGAGAACTCAATGAGCTGAAGGCATAATTTTCTGAATTTTCTGTAAATTCCACAAAGTGTGAGAAAGAATGATTCTCATTACCTTGCTTTCTTGTCATGTATTTATCAATTTCCTTTTGCACAATTGAACTGATCTCTGACATGGAATCACTGTGTTGAGATTTTTCATCAAAATCACCACTTCTAGCCAAATCCTCACTGTCTGCCATATTTGCATTATGACTTGTTCTTTGTCCCTTCAGTTCTTTGTACCACTCGGGATAGTCATTCAACTTGAAGCAGCCCTGCTTATCATGTCCATTATATCCACAATGTGTGCAATATAATTTAGCTCTTTCTTCTTTGGTCAACCTCTGATTACCTCTTCCTCTCCCTGCACTATTGTATCCTTGGCCAGAAAACCCTTTGTTCTCATTTCCTCTGCCATATCCTGAGGTTCTCATGCCTCCTCTTGTATAATTTCTATTAACCATCACGGCTGAACTCTCAAGAGGATCAGATATGCTCACAGGTCTTTGCTTCTCAACTTTCAAAATCATAGAGTAAGCTTTATTAACTGTAGGTAGTGGATCCATAAGGAGTATTTGGTTTTTCACCGGTTCAAAAACCTCATTTAGCCCCATAAGGAATTGCATTAATTTGATCTCCATATCATTTTCACTCATTTTCTTCCCCAAACCACAAGTACACTCAGGTAGAGACACCAAAGATGCATACTCGTCCCACAAACATTTCAACTTTGTGTAATACACAGTCACTGAAGCTGTTCCCTGTGCAAAAGTGGCTATTTCTTTTCGGAGTTGATATTTTAAAGGACCATTACTCTCACCATACCTCTCTGCAAGTTCGTCCCATAATTCTTTCGAGCTCTTTACGTAAATAAAAGCTTCGACTATATCTCTCGAAATTGAATTAAGAAGCCAGGAAATTACCATAGATTCCACTTTCTGAAAAAGCTCATACTCCTCGGTGTTTGGCTCAGGCTCCTCGATGGTTCCATAGATGAAACCGAGTTTAGACTTTGCTCTTAGGGCTAGCTTCACCGCTCGACTCCAGTGCAGATAATTAGATCCATTGAGTTGAGTGGTAACAAGCATCATCCCCGGGTGATCAGATCTATGGAGCGACAGCGGATCAATATCCCTCGAGTAACTGTATTTTCCGACGATCTCTTTTCCATGCTCTTCCCTTGCATGAGCCATTGATTAATCAATTTACCTGCTCTGGTACCATGTAGAAATCACAAATTTTGGTACAGAATTGAGAAGAACATAATTTGGGAAATTTTCAATATTCTCATTCAAATTCAAAAACTAGAGCTTAGCTCAGAGTTCAGTACATATATGAGGAAGACGAGCACACAATACTCGTGAGCTAAGAGCCACTCAAAGGCTAACACGTAGCAACAGTTAATATAAAAGAAAAAATAGAAACCGTGACACAAAAGCGTATAACAACTCTTAAAGTAAGAGCAGCGCCTTTTTACTTAATCAGAGAAAAGAAACTAGGAAATATAGAAAGAAAAGAAATGTGTTGGCGACTGAAACTCCACGCAAATGATCCTGCCACGCTTAACACTTCAACAGGAAACTCATGGAGCAACCTGAGGTATATAGAAGATTAATTGGGAGGCTTTTATATTTAGGTATGACCAGACCTGATGTGACATATGCTGTCCAATAGCTCAGTCAGTTCGTCAATGAACCACATGAAGATCACTGGAAAGCAGCTTTACATATATTGAGATATCTCAAAGGCACATCATCTTTGGGATTGTTCTATCCTACTCAAACAGGAAAACCAAATGTCATAGCTTATTGTGATGCGGATTGGGCCACTTGTAAAGACACAAGACGGTCTGTCACTGGCTACTGCATCTTTCTAGGGGATGCTTTGATTTCTTGGAAGAGCAAGAAGCAACACACCGTGTCAAGGTCCTCCGCAGAAGCTGAATACCGAGCTATGGGAACCACAGTTTCAGAACTAGTATGGATTAGTTACTTGGCACAGGAGTTTCATGTCCCACTCACATTTCCAATTGCTCTTTTGTGTGATAACAAAGCCGCTTTGCACATCACAACAAATCCGGTTTTTCATGAACGCACGAAACATCTGGAAATTGATTGCCATCTTGTGCGAGATAAGTATAAGCAAGGGTTTGTTGCACCAAAGTTTGTACCTTCTGCACATCAACTCGCAGATCTCTTCACTAAAGTCATCACTGGGCATCGCTTTACGTCTCTGATTTGCAAGTTGGGCATGCTCTCAGCCGATCATGGCCCATCTTGAGGGGAGGGTATTGAAGTCATAACTTATGCACATTGAAGACATGCAGACAGAAGAAATACAAGCACAAAGTCGCACGCACGTCTTTATTGTTTTTCTATTCCCGTTTTATGTTTTTTACTTTTTACTTCTTAATGGCTAATACGACGTCGCGTTCCCTGTTTCAATGCGACCCCGTTTCTTTTCTTTTGCATGAGTATTAGGGTTATAAATACTGTGCATGTACGGAACTTTTGAGCTAAGAAAAAATGGTTTCCCAAAATATCTGATTTGGTGCTTTGAATATTGTTGGCGAGATTTCGATTCTTCATTACGTCCTTATAATACATTAAATTTCTCACGAAATCACCCCAATTCAATTTCGCCTGAAACTCAGCCCCGTCCGCCCCGTCACATCAGCATCGTTCATGTTGCCGGTGAACCTCCCGGTCGTTCTCTGCCCGGCCAAGACATCGTCGGTGATTAGATTCTTCAATTTCGGTTTCCATTTTGATAGAAAATTACAGAGTGATTCAGTCGGCCCTAGCTCTGACCGGTTGGTCGATCTCGGTGGTGGACGGTGGAAGAAAGGTCGTAACTTAGAGGGGACGTTCGGCGGCCGATGAAGGAAGGACATCGTTGATGGGAGCTCCGGACGACAGACCATCCGGCGGCGGCGGCGGTGGATTGTCAGAGCTACGGGAGAAAAGGAGGTTGCTCGAGGAAGATCGCGATGGCTGAGAACCGCCGATGATGATGGTTGTGACGAACGGCTGTGGTTGACGTCGGATTTGGTCAGACGAGTGGCGGATTGCGGTGGTCTGTGAAGGCAGATGGGGGAGTGCCGCTGTAAACGGGGAGAGAGACTGGGTGAGATGTGTGTGTACTGTGTGTGTGTGTGAGAGAGAGAGAGAGATGGGGTGTAAGGAGGGTTAGTGGTGGGCCCGGCTGATTAGTGGGTGTGTATTTAATTACTAATTTGTCCCTATTAAATGGTAAAACATGTACATTTGACCCAATGTGTAAGTGTATATACTTATTACTATGATTGATCATTATTTATTAAATTTTGACTTTATCTTAACCATTGATATAATGTATCCAATGACTCAAATTCATTCTCATTTATTTCATTGTGCTCCTTTCTCATTTGAGCACACTTCTATATATATATATATATACTAGATTTGCTCACGCCGTGCACGCACGGCGGTTTAACACCCCGTGTAAAACTACAGTAAAAATTTGTCATAAGTTGTTGCAGTTTCGTATGTTACAGTTGTTCACATATATTATGTTTTTTTTTATTTTTATGGAAATATTTTTCTGAAAGCCAGTATGTGCGCATGCATCCCCATGCTAAAATTGTGGTCAAAGTTATCTGCTTACGATTTTGTCTATTGATTCATGAACATAATACTCTTGATAATTTTTATCCACCTCACAATTGTCAAGTGTGCTCCTCCTAAGGCTATTTTCAATACAAAACTTGAATAAACCATAAAGCTGGGCACTGGGTATGCTTTCCTTAATTTGTATTCACCATCCATATCATTAAATCCTATGAAACTATTGATCTTTTGACAGTGGAAAAGGCTAAATTCTACTACATTGTCAGATTTTTCCTCACAGTTTCTCCGGAGTCTATCTTGCATGTCCCTGAGCATGCAGTTGCTAACAACAAGGTAAAAGTTTTTGGTAATTAATTTAGAAATTGCAAGTGTTCTAAAACATATCAAGTGTAGTCTCTATTTGTAGAGAATGAAAAAATATGAATTTTAATATTTTTTTTATTTTTTTTAGAAACCAAAAAAATACACTTATCCAATAAAAATAGGACAAGTGTCCCATTTTCCTCACAATATAGGTCGCGACCCGAGGTCACATTATGACCTGGGTCGCACAACCTGATGACCTTTTGCTTTCTTTTTTTATTTTTTTTTCTTTGTGTTATTTATGTGACCCATTCATTGGGTCACGGATAAAGTTAGTCTAAATTTGAGGTGGGGAAATAGTTTATTTCTATGTTTTTTTTTTCTCGTGATTGTAAATCCTAAATACTCTGTAGATATGAAATAACACTTTAGATATAAAATAACTCAATCAAATTACCCCTAACAACAACGCATGTAGGTAAAAGTATGTAAGTTGATATGCAATCAGAGGTCCAACAACGAACAATGGGGTTTTCACCACCAGATCAATTCCATTTTTTTCATCAAATTTCCATGCCTCTTTTTTTATATTGTCTTGACACAAGAATACCAAAGCTGCAAACATCAGGATTTTCTTAAAAGCTTTAGCTCGATAACAACTTTTCCAATGCTTAATAGAAGTTAGATGAGTAGCAAATGATAGCCTCTCTCTAGATTGGGAAGACAAGAAAAGTTTCTTGCATGGAAAAAGCTCTTCGGTATGACGCTTTCAAACTGTTGCTTGATGTACTTGGATTTTGGTGCTGCGATAGATCAAACAAATCTGATTTTTAAACAGATAGAAAAATAAGTGAAACAAGAGATCAAACCTTACTCATTAAAAGAGTAACAAATAGTAAAAAATAGGACATCTCTACAACATGTGTTATGCTTTCACTAATAAAGTAACCAATCACCAGAAATCTAAATACGCCATCATACACTCCAGGTCAGGTTCATCGCTATCATTTTTCTTAATATTTTCAAACTGGACCAAGGAAAATCAAATCTTGAACTGGCTAACATATACTCCATCAATTTTTCTACTTTTTCTTTTTTACCAAGAATAACAAACTGCATATCATAGATCTAAATTACCTTCAAAGTAGGGATAACTATAGACGTTGAAATAGAAGAGCCCGAACCGAGGCGGTGGCTTGAACGTCTGGCTGCTCGTAATAAGCCCGATTCTAGAAATCGCTGTCTGATTAAAACGATCCCACCCCGCTGGAAAAATCTACAGGCTCAGCCTAATGTAATTTTTCATATTGTATTTTTGCATGTACATTTGAAATAGTTAGTCTCTTTATTTATCATGTAATGCATACCAGCTATAATAAGCTAAATGTGAGAATGCACATAAAAAATTATGAAACCTTGTGAAGGGAACAAGGAGACAGTTCATAAACTTGAGAACTAAAGCCAGTCCCTGCATTCATTACAGGAGCCCAAAGATTTGAAGAAGATGTCACACTGCTGATGTATAACACATCCTTAGTTCCTTTATCAATATGATGAGCTATCCTAATATCCGAGAAATTATAGTAAAATCTACAAAACCAATTACAAATAAATACATCATTGCTCTTGAAACCTTAAAGTTAAAGAATTAGTTCAAAGATACCTTTGTTTCATCGGGCGCCCATAATTTTACACTCAAATCCACTGTGCAATGACATCTCCATGTGGACTTTTTTTAGGTTGCTCGTCATCAACATCATCCAACAGAAGTCGTCCTCTCTTATGCCCTACTTGGTATATAAGTTTCAAAATTCATATATATATATATATATATATATATATATAAAAAATGAGAATAAAACAAAATACTGCACATATGTTCTGTTAACTGAAAAACAACCGTCGACTTTGGGTAGTTACTCTTCCGCCGATAATGAGTTTAGCGTCTCCAACTACTCCTCTTCTTCTGGATATCCGAAAAACCCTCATAAAACACCTCACGGGAAGAAGCAATCTCCTACGAAATGCTGGTATTATCAACTGGAGCACCAAAGAGGTTCATCACAAGGTCTTGACTTTCGAGTTGAGCCTAAAGAACGTCTCATGAGCTCTCATTATAAATGGCTGCATTTCTTCCATAGCCAAAAAAAAAAACCCTGCAAAATATCAATCATTACGGTGACACAACACATACACACACACACACACATACACACACACAAAAGAGGAAAGAAAAACATTCGTAACCTCTTTGATATGGATGTTCTA